AATGTGTGTGAATTCTCACACAGGGGTCCTCGCAGGGCACTGCTGGCTGCTTCTCCCTCAGCACTCTGCTCCACTCCCTCCCAGRAATGAGGGAATGCCTTGGGTTGGAAGGGCCCTAAAGCTCATGTTCCAACCCCCTTGACGTGGACAGGGACACCTCCCACTGGATCAGATTGCTCCAAAGTCCTCCAACCTGGATGTGAACACTTTCAGGGATGGGTTCAAGGAATCCATCAAGGATAGGCTCAGGGAAGCAATAATTTGCAACCAGTCCCACAAATAAAACCTTTCTTGTGCTCCTTTGGACTCTGTTCATCCAGGTACACATTAAACCCCCATGTGCCTCTGCCACCCCTTTCCCAGGCACCAGCCCCACATGCCCTGAGGACTCTGCACATTCCTGTTCTGCTCTGGATTCTGGTCCCACTCACCCTCACGTGATTATTCCAAGGAAAATGCATGTCTGGGTTCAAATATTTAATGCCTCCTTATCCCAGATGCAGGCAGCAAAGGTAAAACCCTGCTTTGCTCTTTATCCCACCCACGGGACAAGCCAAGAGATGCTCCCACCACCCCCAGCTCCTCCCTGATCCCAGGATTTGCCATTACAGGGGTGCCTTGAGCCTCTGCTCCCTCCCAGAGGCCGGGCTGTCCTTGGCAGGGGTGGAAGGACACAYGGAAAAGCAGCRCTGGGAGCAATGCCAAGRGGGWGTCAGTGYTGGAGCACTCCCACTTGTGGCMCTGGTGGCAGGAGCAGAYGAGCTGTGGGTGAAAGGCAAACAGSAGAGGTTTAAAATTCCTCCTGACAAGCCCATTTTTCCCGTTTGCAGGTGACCAGTGGGACTGAGCCAACAGCAACGCTGGAATTTATAAAGTTAATAAAGTTTATGCAACACTCCCCACGYCTGGGCAGTGTCCACGCTGTGCAGAACAGCAGGAACGAGCCTGGCTGTTCACTGAGCAAGGCTCCAAACACGAGGGGCCGGCAAAGGGGAGGCAGGAATGTGGTTTAGGGCTGGGATGAAGGCTGCTCTGTTCATGTTCACATGCCCTGGGAAGGCAGCAGGTCCTGCTTAGAGGAGTTCCCAGGTGGAAAAAGCAACAGGTTGGGTTTGGGCATGGCTGCAAGAGGAAACCCTYGCCTTGCACAAACATTTTGCAGCCTGATCAAACAGCAGAGCAGCGAGCCCAGGCCCTCTCCTGCAGGAAAACAAAGGCTGAGGCACGTCCAGCAGGTGAGGAGYTCATGGGCAGKGATGTGCCTGGTGCARGCACAGTYGGGGCTGCTGCACCCCAAAATCRCAGAATGGTTTGGGTTGGAAGGGACCTTCAAAGATCATCCTGYTCTTGCCCTTGCCACCTTCCACTRGACCAGGCTGCTCMAACAGCAGTTCAGACAGGARATTTGCAGGTTTGGYTGCCACCAGATGGAGCTCAAAAATAAACAGGAGGAGAAGGGTGTGCGTGGGGTGATGGGGTTGGTGTGGGGCACAGCCACCCATGCTGGGGCAGCTGGAGAAGCAGCAGCCCATGAGCCACATGGCCCCAAACCAGCTCACTCAGCAGTCACAGGGACCTGCTGGCCATGTGGAGGGGGAATATGGGCACGTGATGACACAGTGCTGCCCACAGCAGCTTTTCCTTCCTCCTCCTCCTCCTCCTGTGCTGCATGAAAAGCCAATCCACGGCCTGGCTTTACCCTCCAGCATGGTCTGCTGGCTTTTGGCATTTCTCCATTTCTCCGAGTCATTACTTGCTTTCTAAAAGTAGGTAAACATGGAGGGGGGTGGGGAGGGCAGATTTTCCCATCTGCTCCCAGGATTTCAGCCTGAGCTGGGCACTGCAACCCCCCCAAAAAAACTGGACCAGGTTTTTCCTTTAGTCCATTCCACAAAGACAGGAATGCTGGGGTCCCAATTCTTCCCAAACCGCTCCAGAGTGGGCACTGCCAGTCCTGTTGTGACAGGRCACTGCCAGTCCTGTTGTGACAGGTATCTCCCGCTCCATTTGCAGCCTGGCATGTGCCCCGTTTGCGGATTCAAGGATCAGAGCTTTGACCCAGTGGCATTTGGGAGCAGCCTCCGGCTAACGCGATGTATTTCAGCTGCACAGCTCATTTCTATTTTTAAGGTCCCTCAYCAGCCCCTGAAGGGTGAGGGGGAAGCAAAGCTGCTGGAGGGAAATAAAGCGAACCAAAACAACCCCCAGCAGCAAGAGGAAGGGAATGTAAAGAAATGCTTCTCACCGGAGGCGGTGGGGTGGCACGAGGGCTGCTGCAAGGGACGAGAGCGAGCAGAAAACACCAGCGAGATTTTAGCAAATATGGGAATTAATCAACAGCCAAAACAGCACCAGGGGAGCAGAGGGGGTGAATCAGTCCCTGTGGAGTTGATGCCGTGGAAGATGGGTGCTTGCCCGTCCAATATCAAGCCCTATAGGAGGAAGGGGATTGCTTAGGGAGAGGTGTTGGTTATGGGGAACCCCTTTCTTGGTTTTACTTCTATTGCCCAATGTTCCCCTTGCTATCCCACAACAACAGGACACAAAACACATGAAATCATATGAAATCAGAGAATCATTTGGGTTRGAAAAGCCCTCTAAGAACACAGAGTSCAACCATTCCCCCAGCACYGCCAGGCCCACCACYACCCCRTGTCCCCARTGCCACATCCACAGGGCTGTTAAATCCCTGYAGGAACRGTGACTCCACTRCCCTGGACAGCCTGTTCCCATGCTTGGTAACTCTTTCAGTGTGGAAATTTGTCCTGATGCCYGACCTAAACCTCTCCTGCCACAATTTGATGATCTTCCATAGAATTGCRAAATGAGAGTTTTCTCTCGTGGCTTGTTACTTGAGAAGAGAGACACCCACAGCAGTGAAGATGGAAACAGAACAAAAATAAATGTGCTTGGCTGTCAGATGCTTTTCCAAAATATGTCTGAATGCTATGAAGGGGAAAGAAAGGCCCTAAAAGCTCTTCAAGCCCAAGCAAAAAAGGCAATGCCAAGGGCTTTTCCCTCAACAATGCCATGAAGCTGCCTGGGAGAACATCATGGGGAATCTGGGCTCTCCCTCTATCTTCATTCCCAGCAGAGAAGGAATCTGTGACAATTTGCAGACATTCAGGAACACAGCCTTTAATTCAGCAGTTTTTCCAGGCAGTTTTGTTTCACTGGGCAGGGAACCATGGCCACTGACRGGTGCTGCTGTAAATCCAACCCACTCAGAGCAACGTGGGGATGAGCTCAACCTCCATCCAACATCCAAAAAAGAGGAGTATCTATGAGCTCATGGCATCACAGAGCAGCTCACTGAGAGCRGGATCAGGCTGGGGAATGTGCCCAGATGAAAGGCAGGGATGTAGGATTGGTGCTTTGCTCTGCCATTGCCTCCCCGGGATGCCTGGGGACATTGCTGGGTTTGTCCCTCCATGACCACGAGACCAACAAACAAATACAGTAATATTGACTTTACCTTTGTGTGTCCACACTGTGATCTGCAGGCTTGGGAAAAGAAATATTTGCCTCTCCAAAACACGGGGCTTCTGCTGGGAACAGTAGCACAGGAGATCCCTGAGGCATCCTGGGGGTGAGCAGCACCCAAAGGGCTTTGCTGGRGCATGGGAAGATCCTGGATTGGTGCCACAGCCACACTTCGCAGCCAGCCTTACCTTGTCTTATTCAGAARAGGTTTATTTTCCTTTATTTTTCTGTGTTTGGTGATGTTTAAAGGCTGCCACGTGCTTCCTGTGAGATGCAGCCCCCCCAAACAGCAGAAGTCACATCAGATCATTGCTGCCATGGACATGGGGGTCACCCTCAGGGTGCTGGCAGCCCCTGGGGTCCAAACTTTGTGTCCAAGACTGCTGGAACCCCCCTGAAGCCATTCCCTTTCCATTCACACACTTGGTCAGGGGGAGCAGAGCCCTGTCCAAGGGACAGGGGACACAAATCCTCTGCCCCAAAGACAAGGATTTCTGCCTGGGGAAACAGAGCTCAGGGAAAAGCTCGCTCAACACTTTCCACCCTCAGAAACAACAGAGCTGGAAGTGACCCTGGCTGCCCCTGCAGAGCAGACAGAAAGCAGAGCAGACAGCAAGCAGAGCAGACAGCAAGCAGAGCAGCCACTTCCCCCCAGCTGCTCTCTGCCCCTTGTCCTGCCTGCACGGGGCACCAGCAGGGAAATCACGGCTCAGGGATCCCCTGTCCTCAGCTGCCATCGGGGCTGCAGCCCCTGGTGCACRCAGGGACAGCCCCACACCTCGTGCTGAGGTGAGCAGGGAGGTTTGGCACCTTTAAATCAACCTCTGCCAGGATTTCTGTGCCTCCAGCAGGAACAAARGTGTTCCCTTCACGCAGGCACCTGCAGGCTCTTGTTTTCCCAGCTATCAGGCTGGTCACAGAAGGATCAAACAGCCAAGCTGACAAATTGAAGGTAAAAATCAGGCAAAACAGCRCTTGGGGAAGTGCAGCACATGGGCCAGGTGGGATCCAGAGCTGCCAACYCCAGTGCAGCCCCTGAGCTGCCATCCACACCATGAGCTCCAGCCTGACTTCCAGACCCATAAAATGCATGTCCTGAGCAAGCTTTATCCCCCTCCTCATTCTGGAGGGGTCACTGTGTTCCCAAACGCTGCCCCCAGCCCCAGGCACACCTGCTCAGGCCCTGGCACTCGCTCCTGCCCCTCGAGGCACCAAAGCAGCCCAGGGCAGCTGTGGCTTTGGGAGGCCAAACAAGCTCAGTGCCAGCAGGGAACGGCTGCGTAGCCAAGTAAGGAGAGAAAAGGCTGAGGGAAGGCATTTACAACACCACCACAGCCCAGCCAGACCCTGCTCACGTGCAAAACACACAGGGCCCAGTGAGTCAGGCTGGCATGTGACACCTGGCACTGCCACATCCCTCTGCTGCTGTGAGCAGGAGCTGTGTCCTGGTGCAGCCCCTCCAACACCCCCAGCGCTGCTCTGCTCCCCCCTCCACGCATCAAGAACAACCCACAGCATTTTAAAAGGCTGCTCCAGTTTATTGGTCACCATTGCACGAGTTSAAGGTAATAAAAACGTGTTACCAAGTCTGCTTTGAAAGGGCTTAGTTACACCGGGAGAGTAAAAAGGCTGGAGTGGAATCGTCGGGGTGGCTGAACTTTTCCATCAGAAAGCAGCACCTTGTCCTTGGAGCAGCCAGCTACTCTACAGGGGAGGGGCAGTGCCCGCCGGGGTGGGGAGGAGCAGCCGCCGACCCGCTCACACCGAGGGTCCTGAGCTGGACTCGCTGGCGTGGCGCCTCCGCCCCGCGCCCGGGGCTGCCACCAGGGCACAGGCCATCGGTCCAGTGGCCACCCGCAGAGCTCCCAGGCTGCAACACAGAGCAGAGAGAGAGTCAGCCATAACACCGACCCTGAAATGTGGCATCGCTGCTCTGCAGCTAAAGGAAGCCCTGGGCATGGTCCATTGGGTCAGGAGGACCTCGGGGGACACAGCAGGGATGGCCCCAGGTGCCACACTGGTGCTCCCCCATGCCACCTCAAAGCACTCACCTCTCCTGGGACTCTGACACGGTTGTCATGGCCGGGTGAGCAGTCTTCCCAAAGAAGAAGCTGGCCCACCACTGGCCAGGGTCAGCCTTGGGCAGATCTGGGGAACAGAGCACGGCCAGGTCAGCGGCCCCATGGCCACCCCAACCTCACCCCAGAGGAGAGGCGGGCTCATCTCCAGTAGGATTGGCCAAGCAGAGTCCCCCTGGGCCAGGACAGGTGGCACTTACCCGGGCCGTGGGGGATGACCTCCCCAGAGTACTCTGAGCTGCAGGAGCTGGTGCTGGATGTGGAGCTCAGGCGCCCTGTGGACAAATCATGGCCATCAGAACCAGTGCTGACCCATGGCCATGCCACGAGAAGGAAAGCACGGCCATGGTGTGACTGTCCTGGGTGACACAGTCCCATCACTAACTCGCTCCAAGCCAATAAAAACCACCAGGAGGGGGATACTGGGGAGATTCCAAGAGCAGGGAGCAGAAAAACACCTGAACACCTCTGTACGACCCCAAGGACAAAATGTAGTGGCTTTGAGAGGCCTCTGCAGATGACTTGAGGCCAAGAGGATGTGAATTCCTGGGTATAATCCATGTGTTTTTAGTACAACAGCCACAAGTCTGCTGCTTGTTTCAGCTCAAGGGGAATCCTTTAATTCCCTCTGGTTTAAGCAATCCATTAAACCAGAAAGTGTCTCCTGGGTGAGGTACCAGGAGCTACCATTGCTCAGACTGGTTTTGCAGCTCATTTCTGCAGCAGCAGTGCAAGATGAAGTGGTCAGCTCCATCCCCTACAACCTCAGTAACCAGTGAAGGAGATTTGAGCCATCTGGGGGCCCCAAAGGAGGGTCTGGGCAGCAGCAGGGACACTGCTGGCTGTCCCCTGTTTTCAGCAAAAACTCACATGGGGCTGTAGCTGAAAGCACAGAGCTCAGCTCCATTTCTGCTGGAGCCAGATCCCCCCACACCTGGCAGAGACCCCCATGTGCCCACCCATCATCCCAAGCCCTCCCTGGCCCCCAGCTTGCCCTTACTTCTGCGATAGTTGTGCGTGGCCATGAGCGAGCCGCTGGATGGGATGGATGCCATGGTTCCTGATCTTGGTTCTGGTGCAGATCTAAACCTGGGAGCAGAGAGATAGCTGTCAGCACCCACCCTGAGCCACTCCTGCACCCCCGAAAGCTGCAGGGGTGTACAGGGAACCAGTCTGACTCCACGTTTGTGGAGAAACGGGACGTGCAAGCCCGCACTGGGAACGGCGGCTGCTGCTCGCACACGGATTAAATCCACAGAGCTCCGAGAGCTACGTGCAAAGCCAAAATAATTCCTTCATGCACAGCTGCCTGCCCAGAGCACAGCCTGGCACAGCCCCTCTCCAACCCTCCCTCCTCCCCGGGTGTTTTTCTTGCAGAAATCCGGCTCCCCTCCTTGGATCAACATCTGGAGTTACAAAATCCCAAGCGGATGTTGCATAAGGAGCAAAGAAACGCTCAGTTGGGGCACATACCGAGGGGTGTTCCTGCAAAGAGTTCCAGCCCCAGCCTGTCCTCAGCAGCCTCCCCAACACCCACAGCCGGGACAAACCTGCCCGCCCTTCACCTTTGATGTGGTTCAGCTCCAGTTCTGAACTGGAGAAGTTCTGAACTGGAGAAACTCAGTACTGGTGTAGTTCAGAACTGGAGAAGTTCAGAACTGGAGAAGTTTTTTTTTCCTCCTTCCGGGTACAAAACACCTTCCTGCCCGCAGCTGACTCTTCCCACAGTCCGACCCCTTCTTCTCCAAAAAAACTCAAAAAAACCTCAGGCAGCCAAGCGCGCCAGCTGCCAACAGCTGGACACCGATCCCCGGMGCCATGCGGGAGAATCAACCTCTCCTCAGCGGGGAAACTGAGGCACGGGGAAGTTCCGAGCCAGCGTAGCCCCCTCGCAAATCAAACCCTCCGCTCCCTCTGTGGGGCCGCCCCGTCCCCCCGGCTGCGGGCAGCGCACCTGGGCTGTGTGCGGGCTCCGGCGGCTCCGGCGGGCGGGCAGGGCAGGGGGGTCCGGGGCGGGGGTCGCCGATCGCTCGCACCGCACGGCCTGAGCCGCGGCGCTGCCGAAAACCCCCCGAGCCGCGCTTTTATCCGCTCCGGACACGCCCACCCGCCGCCGGAGCCAATGGGAGCGGGGGCGTGGCCGGACACACCCATCGCGGGGCGTGGCCTGACACGCCCATCACGGGGCGCGATTGTCGCGGAGGGGCGAGGGGACACCCCCGAGRGGGTCGGGGACAAGCAGAGCCCCAAACTCGGAGAGAGGAGATTGAAAATCCATCCACCGCCGCTCCTGAAATGGAGAAGRGTTTTCCTTCTTTAGAGCGGCGCCGCCTTAAAAATGAGAGTAAACACGAAAAATAAATAAACGCGGATTCGAGGGATTCTGAGCTGGCTGGGCTTTATCAGTTTTGGGAGAGAACGCTTTGTTTCAGAGGGAGAAACGAACAGCAAGGACAAAGTACAACCCACGCCGCAGTGCAACTCCTCTGTGCCTGGTTACCAATGCACCATCCTGCACTGGTGCTGCTCCAAAAACCACTGGTTTTGTGGGATTGGAGTCTGGGAGAGCCAAGGCAATGCATTGGTGCACAGGGAAACAGATCTGTGTAAAAGGAACAGAAACTTCACAGAAAATTTMTTTCTGTATGGCATGGAAATGGGGTTGAGAACGAAACACTCAGAGAGATGCCAGAGCCTTGAGGAACCTCCACAAAGGCAGTTTGATACTTGGGGTACCTAAAATGTTGCTCCTTTTTTTTGTCCCAAAATTCAGTAGCACTCCAGAGCAAAGAGCTGCAGCCTGGCCTGTTGAACAGTAAAATCTTGAAGCTTTGGTGCAGCTGTGGGCAAGAGAATTTTTGGGGGTGATGCTTTAACCATTTCAGGGATTGGAGGCAGGAGGGAGCCCASATCCCAGCCTGGGGTGGTTKTTKCACAAACTCCCCATGTAACGAGGTKCATTSCTCCCCCAATCYGTGCTTTTTATTAATCTGGAGTTATTTTTTAAGCACCAGGGTGAGGAACCAGTGCCAGGGGAGGCAGCTCGGGGTTGCTCGAGGACATCAATGTCCCTGCACAGCTCATGGGGCAGTAAAAGGGCTGAGCTGCCCTCAGGGGTGTTTCTCAGTGGGGTATGACCACCCCAGCATGGGGACACTCCAGGTGAGCCATGTCCCCAGCTGACCCGAGGACAAGGCCACACTGACCACTGCCACGTCTGCTGGCACGGACACTGTATGCACCCTCCCAGGAAAACAGCCGGGACAGATTTCAGGGAAAACCTTGGCACAACAAGTCTGTAAATAAATAGATTATTTTCAAAATTTACCCCAGAGGTTTAAGGGCTAACACAAGCACATGTGTGGTCCAGCTGAGGACCGAGTTCCTCCACCTGTGCCTCAGTTTCCCCACTGATGATACTGACTCAGCGCTTTCCAGGGCAGGATTTGGCTAAAGGTTGTGATGGACTTTAATACACAAATTCCAACAGGCAGTTTRAGCAGCCACGTGGTTGTTTTCATGCCCAGCATTAGACTTTGCTTTTGTGCCACATGATCGGGTTGGATCATTGGTTTAATTTTGGGGTCCTGACACTCCCAGCCCTGCCTGGCTACACAGCGTGGAGAGCTACAGGGCACAGACTTGGGAGATTTTTCTGGGCCAGAAGGGAAAGATAAAAAGGCTAAAAACTCAGTGCTTCAGACATGAAAAGTCACTTTTGTTTTAGTGCAGCCAGTGCCACTTTGCAGGTTCTTCCTAAACTCCCTAGAGATATATTCCTGCAATCCTCCATCCCCCTAATAAYGCACAGAGCAATTAGAGGGTATTGATATAAAGATTATATTCTATAATGGATTATATTCTTCCCAGCAGGTCCAGCGTGGCTTTGTACCCCACCGAGCCTGAGCAGGCTAATTGCTTTAATTAATGATAGAGCAGAGATGGAGAAACCTGTCCTGGTCCCTTTGTGCAGTGACACCCCTTACACCCACATTTGGGGCTGCTTTTAAAGGATCACCCCATTAAGCAGGTAACACTGGGGSTGTGATGCTGCACCCACAGCCATGAGGGGTGAATTGGGGCTTTGCTAATTCAGGGGGATCAGTCTCCAGAAAATTGTGCCTTGTTCTGCTTTTCCTCTCAAGATCAATTCCATTTTGCCTTCATGAGGCAGCAGGAGCAGCATGGGTAGGACAGAGCAGCCGGGGAGATTGATGGAGCAGCCAGCCTGGTTTCCCAGGACAAAGCCTGCTCTGGGTCTGTTGAAAAGAGGAAGATACATTTCATTTATATTGATCGAGGAACAGTAGTTTTAAAGAGAGCAGATGACAAGATTTGGATAGATTTTTCTCTTTGGTTTTCCTCTCATTASAGCTTCTGAGCAGACTGCAACTCTTTCCAGTTTGCTTTTCAGCAAGGTTTCTGTGTTTTCCTTTTTTGAAAGTCTGGCTTTTAGCTTCTGGCAACTGGCTTTTGTTATCTGTTATTTGTGTGGGCCATTGGGAAAGAGCCTTTTGTGTAGTTTTGAACTTGGCAGAAGTTTCTGGAAGCAGGCAAAAGCACCAGAGCTGAACAAGCTGCTGCCTCTGGACTCCAYCAGCACCCCTGGGCCAGCACTGACGGGTGTTTGGGGCACCTCAATGGCTTCAGGCTGCTGCCACATTCCCTTGAGGGATGTGACATCCAGGTGGCTTCAGGAATTTGGTCAATGAAAGGGGCCCAGCAGCCCCTTCCCCACCAGAGCAGCAGCAAATTCCTTCCTGGGTAAGAAGGCAGCCCTTAGTCCTGGCCCAGCAGTAGAATCACAGACTGGTTTGGGTTGGAAGAGACCTTAAATCTCATTCCAACCTCCTGCCATGGGCAGGGACACCTTCCACTATCCCAGATTGCTGCAAGYCCTGCCCAACCTGGCCTTRAACACTTCCAGGGATGGAGCAGCCACAGCTCCTCTGGRCAATCTGTGCCAGTAACGCAGACTCGAGCTTCTACAGTGCCACAAAGCCTGATCCTGCCCCACGGAGGCTTTTCCCTAATTCTCCCTCTGTCAAACACTTCTTGCTGCAGAGGAGGGAGCAAGCAGGACCTGTGTTCAGGCTTGTCCTTCTTTTCCCCGTCCTCCCTCTCTCGCTCCTCCTCCTCCTCCTCCTCCTCCGCTGCCTTTTCCCGGCTGTGTTACTCATTGCCAGGTTTGGGATTAGGGCAGCGTCCACCCAGCACAGGCAGCTGCTGCCACCTATGGATAACAAATACCCAAAATATTCACCCCAGATGCCCAGAGAGGGCCATCCTGCCCTCTCACCTCCTCTGAGGTGAGATCGGAGCYGGAGCAGCTGTGAAATCAACCCCTTGGTCGTGTTATGGCACGAATGCCTGTGCATCTTCCCCTGCCTGTATGGGTTTAAACTGSATAAGGGAATGTCCTGRAAATGCATGGRAAGATTTCCCTTAAGCACAATGCTYGAGGAGCATATTTTACCTGTCATCTGGAAATCTGCCTTTCTGRATATGTGGAGCAGTGACCCAAATGCCACCTTGGTAGGAGAATAARCCACAGTCAGATCAGAGCATGGACCACTGTCCCCATGGTGATGGAAGCAGCTCTGCTGGCCTCACCTCCAGTCTGATTTCCCAAAGGGCACAGGGAATTGGCATCAGGACCCCCAGGATTCTGAGTCTGATCTGAAAATGTCCATGCTGTGGAGAGAATTAGACAGAGAATCACAAACTGYCTGATTTGCCTGTGCAAGAGGGACGCCTCCAATTTTGAAAAGCCAGTGAAGAGAMATGACAGCTGCTCTCTGTAATCCAGAAGCTTGTGGTGAACTTAGTTCCACAAGTYCCTGACTTTTGGTCCATCTGTTCATCTCTAAAAATGGGAAAATCATCTTGCAGAAACTGGTAGGAACACTGAACAGGATCCATSTCTGCAGAAAACTCCTAGACCAGCAATTCCTTTGTGGGATCAGGGGAGATGCCACTACCAGTCACTACCAWCACACGAAAACAAATTATTCTCTAATACACATCCTTTGGATTTGACGGGGGAAGGTTCAGCAGCAAATTTTCTCATTAAGTTCCCTGATCCTCTCTTCCCCCTCTGGATGCATCCAAAGCTTATGYTGTTACCCAGCTATCCCCTTTAACATTTCCACTAAAGCCATCAGGAGATATGGGCAGCCAGGGCTCTTTTCACTCAGCGGCTGTGGTTTGATAGGAAAAGCCATCCCCGGGATTAATCAGGCTTTTCCTWACTGTGGGATGTGCACGGCTGCCAAAACAAACACATCAATCTGCTCTAGCTTGGTACAGCACCAGACACTCTTGCTGAAAACTCAGCACGGTCCAGAGGCAAGCAGCATCCTGCAAACAGCACTAAAGCACAGGGCAGAGGTGTCTTATCTCATTTGGGCTTGACCTAGATTGGGCTCTGCCCCCTCCCCAGCTCGTGGGGAGATTTAAGGGATCAGCGTCTCGCAGCCCCCACAGATGCTGCATCCAGGCGCCAGAAATGTCACAGTGCCCCTGATGAGATGCAGTTGAAATGGTGTTTGTCTCCTTCCCCGATGTTAAAAGATATTCCAGGGCATGGAAATGTTCACCCTGGCTGCTTCCCAGATGGTCAGTGGTTCAGGCTGAGCAGTTTTATCCTTCACAGCCTCGACCCCATAACTCAGCTGTTGGTGGAAAAGGGGATTCCAGGGGAGCATCCCCTGGAGCTGTGTGCTACCACTGATGTCCAGGATGAATGGGGACAGTTTCCAAGGCCTTGAAGCATTGTCCCTTCAGCATTGCTGCCTCAGATCCACTTGGACACCCAGTGGGTGTGACTAACCCCCCCTGGGCATGTCCCAGTGCTGTGAGCACCATGATGGGCCCTAAGGAGCAGCCCACCCTGCACGAGGTACGCTGCTGTCCCATCAGGGATGACACCAGACTCCGTCCCCAGCTGGCCAAGTGGCTGGAGGACTTGGACATCTTGTTATCACTCCCTAAGTTTATTTTTAAACCTCTGGCTCCAATTTAAAGGTATCAGCAGCATGGAGTGAGCACAGGACCTCAAAATACTCCCTTTCTC